TCATTATGTGAATGAAAGAGGATGCTGTGAATAATTATTCCAGGACAACAGTTGTAAACCAAGGCCAACCCAGGCAAACCTCAATGAATGTTTACCTTATGTATAAAAATTAGTTTATGTTAATTTATTGATTTGATATGGAAATTTATTCTTTTCTCATGCTGGAAAATGAATATTCTTCATAATTATATGACAATACATAGTATGTATTGCCTTTATTTATTCTATTGCTTAGTGATATTTAGTGTAATAGAGAAAAACAAAAGAAAGGAACAGACAAAACTAAACCAAACAAACCCTGGGAATTTGTCTGTGGAATGAAGGCTATAGAAGGGGAAAACGAGGTGAGGGGAAAAGGAGCGAAGGGCAAAAGAACTATGGTGGAGGATCATGAAGACTTTGGTGGTGGGTGTGGGGTGGTAACATATATGTGAGGACATGTGAACCTACACCCCTGAATCATCTCCAGTGTTGAAACGATGTTACCTCAACCATAAAATAATACAATACTAAAAGAAAAAGAAAAAGGTGATGGGTTTTTATTATGTTTTGTTTGAGTTCCATTTCTGTTATCTCCTATGTAACTCCCATTATTTTTTGATCGAGGATTCTCCTGAGCTTAGTAGTTAGTACATGATAGTGTATGATGGGTTGGTTGTATGACATCTCGTCTCTGGTTCTAGACCACACTGTTACTTTTCTCTTCCTCCTCCTTGTTAACTAGGTGGTGGTGGCATCAACATTCATTGTTCTGTTGCTTTAGAATAATCCCTCTAGTATATTTTTAATGTGTAGCTTGGTGTTGATAAATTCTTTTAGTTTTTGCTTTTCAGTGAAACTCCTTACTCTTCTATCTTGATTGCTAATCTTGCTGGGTAAAGGATTCTTAGCTAGTCTTTTTCTTTTCTTTTTTTTTTCCCAAAGATTTATTTATTTATACAAGCACTGGGTACAGGTCAGAGGCACTGGAGGGTGAGCGAATTCACCAGAGACAGAGTTGGGAGCAGAACAGGCAGACGGACCGAAGACACTTCTGAGGGGAGCAGCAGGCGAGACATGAGAGGTCTGCTGCGTCATGTGGGTTTCTCCCTGGCCCTCTAGGAATCTAACCTGCAGAGGTTGCGGACAGCTTCACGGTGCGGCCTCAACCTGCTGCACCACCGGGGAGGCACTAGGCTAGTCTTTTTCTTAATAATTTAAATACCTCTTTCCAGTCCCTTCATGCTTATGTTTCTGCTGAAAAGTCTGTTGACAGTGTGATTGCTGTTCTTCTGTTGGCTATCCTTTATCTCTTCATATTTTTAATATTATTTTCTTGTTTAAAGTTCTTGACAACTTTATTACTAGTGTCTTCATGTAAGTCTGTCTGGTACTATTTTCTTGCAACTCTTTGGGCCTCTTGGATCATAACTTCTGGTCCATTTCCCATAGTGAGCTGGTTTTCAGATTACTTCTTTAAACAGGATTTCTATGCCTTTCTCCTTTTCTTCTTCTGGAATCCCCATGATCCCATATTATTTCTCTTTATGTTGTCCCAGAGAACTCTTATACTGTTTGCTTGTTTATATTCTTTTTTCTCTACCTTATTCTATTCTTGATTTATCCAGCCTTGTGTTTTGAGCTCATTAATTCTCTCCGTTGTTTCTAGTTGTCTGCTATTAAGGTCCTCAATTTTATTTTTTAAATCAGCGAGTGTTTCTTAACTATTATTTCTGAATGTAGCTGCCTCAATTGTCATCTTTATTCCATTGTTATGTCATATTTTCTATTTTTTTTTCTTTAAGTTCCATCAATATTTCCAAGAGTGTTGCCCTGAAGTCTTCTTATGTCATGCTCTACAACGCCACTGAATTTGGGCTCTTTGCAGTGTGATTTTTTTGTTCTGGCATTTGCATTGTGTTCTTCAGTCTCCTCATTTTTGATCTTGTATAAGTTTTTGTAGGGTTAAATTTTCAATTGTTTTTGCACCTATTGGAATAGTCAGAGAACTGACTCTACTGAGGGGTAGCAGGTATAAAAGAGGACTGCGGCAGCAGGCATCAAAGCAATACCTCCAGTAATCTCAGGTATTTGTACTACTGTTGTGAAACATTTCTTTGTGTGGTCAGTGACAAGTGTTGTGGATATTTCAGCCAGAGGTACAGCAATTTTGGATCGCTCAGTTAGGCTTCATTAGTAGCCTCTTGTAAAGAGAATTTCAGATACGCTGACCCTATTCAGGCTACAGCTGTAACACATTAAAGCCAGAAGTCCTTGTTCTGTTTCCTCATATCTGCAGCTCTCCAGCAATACACCCTCTGTCCCTGGATAACTACTCCTTCCTGCCCCTTATCCAGTACAGTGCCAGGTCTTAGGAAACCCAAATATGGAGTGCATGTGAGTCAGTATCTGTAGAGAACTCTGCCTCACAGCTGGTTCTCCCTCTTGCCATCTTGTGGGTTGTACTGCCCCATTATCACCCTCAACAGAGTTTGCTTAAAGTATTTGCTACCTGTATTCATGTGGCTGATGCTCTTAACGTGTGTCCGTTTTTCCTTTGGGTTTTCGGGCTTTGTTTTACATCAGTTCAGTGCATGTTTGGTGTAGGCAAGTCCAGCTTCTTCACTCTGCCACCATTTTGCCAGGCTCTCTCCTTAAAGTTATTATTATAACTTCCTAGAACTCAATGGCAGAGACTAAACACAGTGACATGCACAATCCAGGTGCAGTTCCTAATTAATTAATGATCATAAATATTGTGTTCCTATGTATTAAAAAAATTCCAAATACTCTGAATTGTTAAATAAAAATAAAATGTTTACTGAAGATAAATCATAAATAATGATAAAATGTGATGATACCATAGGAAGTTTAAGGAAAATAGAAAATGAGTCTTAAAATCAATCTTATTTTAAATACAGGCTGTATTATTTAATAGCATGTGACCTGGAAATTCTATAAACTTATATTACTTGACTATAAAATAGGAAAACTAATTTTTATTTCATGGAATTATTTCCTATTAAAGAACATATTAAATCTTGAACTCCGCGAAATAATTTCATGGTTACAGAAGGAACAGGCAGGATGGAGGGGAGAGCATGGCAGAGGGAGACAGGGTATATTGGCACAGGCAGTTTGGTGGAAGGTCAGTGGAACATGTGTAAAAATAGAAGAGCAAAAGTGTAATCCCAAAATTAAAATAAAAACTAAAAAGTTAAAAATAAAATGAAATAGCATGTGGAAGAAACCTAGTACATAGCAGCAGAAATATGGTAGATACTCAATGCTGCACTATAGACACTCAGTGGAAGACAATAAAAAGAACATCAATTGTTTAAATAAACAATTAGAAAAACTATACTCAGATGTCTAAATGTATTCATTTTAATGATAAAATTATATATATATTTGAATTATTTGAGGCAAGTGTTTGAGCATGTGTGTAGAAATTCTCAGAGTATTATCTAAGAAAATCATAATTCGTTACCCCCAAATAAATCATCACTCAACACTTATAAACTTTATAGAAATCTTCCACTCTATAAAAATATTGAGACATCAATTATGTTATACTACCCATTTTTAAGTTAAAACATTATTTTTAATCACCAAAATAATACTATTATGATATTCAAGTATTCTGAAGGTAATTTACAAATCTTGCCCAAAATGAAAAAAGATAACTTTGCAGTATCACTAAGGTCAATTTACATATTACCTCTGAAATGAACAGAAAAAGGAGGCTATAAATCACCATAAACATGTGCTCATTTGGATTACCAGAATGTAGCTACTATAAAAAATTCTATTATTCTAATTCTAAACAATTCTATTATTTTTTTCTGGGAACTTCTATTTGACTACAATCATATTTCAAAGAAATCTACCTCTGTGTGCAATAGCTTGCCTCTATCCATAAATGTTTTAGTTTATAAAACTAGGATTTAAAAAAAATAGATGCTCTAAAATTTGTGTTGTTTTCAAATGTCTCAGCAATTCTCATTAAGTAAGAAAAGTTTCCTGGAGAACACATCGGCAGGGATTCTTAATGCTTAAGTATTTTGAAAGTGTTAGTTTATGAATTATTGTATGTAAATATGTATGTTTATATTTTGAAATAAAATTAAATAAATTATAGCTTGCAGGAAGTCATATAACATTATTTTAGTAGTAATTTAACTTTTGGATATAACAAAACATAACAAAACATAACAAAACAATTACTACAAATGAACACAGCAGGTTTGTTAACTGAATGAGCCATAAGATTTCACATTGGAGGAAATATTGTATAGAATAAAAGTAAACTACCCCCAAATTTCAGTAGTATATAATATTAAATGCTAATTTCTCATTCAGGCTATATGTCCACTGGAGGTCAACTGTGGCTCTATCCTTTTTGCCTTCACTTAGGGATGCAGCAACGCAGTAGCATATATCTTAGTGTGACTGGTCTTCTGGAAGGACAGGGAAGATATGGGTTCTTCTGACTTAAAAGAAAGAAGCATAGATGCATTCAGTATTTTTCCTTTTCTTCCTAACCCTTTATTTACTTGTATTTCCAGAGTTATTTTCTGCATAAGAATTTTGACACATTTTCACCAGACTAATTATTGTGACTTTTCCTATATTTATTTACCTTCTGATTTTTGTTTATGGGTGTGGTGGTTTACAGTCACCATATAAGTTTATTTGGAGTGTGTACTGCAGGGATTAGGGCTGCCATTCCCATTTTCAGTGCATAATCACTGTGACCCTTTAATAAAAGTTGTGGAATGGTCAAGATTAATTTCATTATTTCAATATTGTATGTTATATTTGTATTGAATTTTAATTCTTGATAAGTTATATATCAGAACAGTTTATAAGATGGAGGTATTATGTCACTGAATATAAAATGTTTCTAATGCTTACCCCCTCCTTACTACTATTTACACTATGATAATAACCTTAAACCAAACTTTTAAGTACACAATTTAGGAGAACTTTCTTTCACATTTTTTCTTTAAATTAATTAGTGTTGATAAAGCAGATGATGAAGATGATGAGGATTTAACAGTGAACAAAACTTGGGTGTTGGCGCCAAAGATTCATGAAGGAGATATCACACAAATTCTTAATTCACTGCTTCAAGGCTATGACAATAAACTTCGCCCAGATATAGGAGGTAAGTATAAGCTATCCTTCTGGGATTTTGGTGACTCTGAAACTGTTTTTACTGACGTTATTTTAATCATGTATCTATTACTCCTTGAATGTCTGGTGTATGTCAGACTGCAGAGTTTGAGAAAAAACCCTGCATAGTCTGCTAAGTATATCTCAATATGATGGGAATAGAGCATCAAAAAAACATGATTAAAAGCTACTATGGGACTACCTTGATGGCAGGGGTCAAGTCTCAGCACTATGCAGCTATCCGCAGCCACTGCAACACAAGTATGATACCAGACCAGGGAGCTAATCCACATGGCACAGCAGACCTCTTCTGTCTTGCCAGCTATTCTCCTCAGCAGTGTACCTCAGTCAATCTGCCTATTCTGTTCCCTACCATGTCTCTGTGAATCCTCTCAACCTCTGGCTTGTACCGTAATTCTTGTATGCATAAATAAATAATTCTTTAAAAAAAAAGCTACTATGGACTTCAGTTGTGCCTTAGCTATGTGGAAACTGAATGGAAAAACTCCATTGATTTCCTCCTATTTTCTGGCCTTTATTGATTTGCTTAGAATATCTATTAGTTCTATATATTCACTTCCACTAGGAACCACTAGGAATTTACTTTGGTACTTACTTCCACTAGGAATTTACTTTGGTATATTCTGATTAAATACTTAAAGCAGAGTACTTAACATCACAACTCAGAAAGAGGCCTCACAAAAAAAATCCAGTGTTATCTATACGTGCCTTCCATCCATCAAAACCGTAATTTGCTGTGGCAGTGCATAGTTTTCTCAGTCATTGTTATAACATCACAAAAACAGATCTTTGATCTCTGTGGGTGTTGGCGAAGAAACATTCTGAAATGTGCCCGCATTCTGAAAAATTTAATGACCCTGGAAAGTCAATTCCTTTTTAGTTTCATTTTTCTAGTCTTAAATTAAAATTAATTTTACCTGCAAGTATTGTTCATAATATGAATCAATAAAAGGTGTAGTGATTCATTAAGGAACAAATACAGAATTTTTTGGTTTTCTTTATTGTGTTTTTTGAAGCATCTAATTATAGCTATAGTTTCAAAATTAATATGACATATTTTAGTTCAGTTTCAAATTGTAAAATAGGGTACAAAATAACAAAAACCCACATAGTTTGCAAATATGTGTTTATAATTTTTATCAAATGGTTTCATCAATAGCAATTTCTACATTGGACTTATTGATGTGATTCTTCTTTTGTTTGGTCCCGGATAAACTTGATTTATATTCATTATAAAATGGTTTGGTTCATGCCATCCTGGCAGAGTTAGTGCTTTTCTAAATGTGTATATCTCTGTTATAATTGTCTAAGAAAATGTTGGTATCAGGAAACCAGGAGTTATCACTTGTAATTATTTTACAATTATTACGTTGTAAATGTGAAAAGTATGTTCTGTAAATAAAGATGTCTTCAGGTATTATTGACTTCTGAGTGTAGGGAGTCTTCAGTTTTGAGTATGATGCAATAGAGATCAAGCAGTCTTTGCTGGTTAATTAGATGAACTGAAAAAACAAAAGGTCTAATTAAATAAGACTGGTAACTTTCACTTAACTTCTTATAACTGGTAATAAAAATAATTATAAATCAAACCAATAAAACTATTCTCTTATTAATTGACTTACATGAAAAGCATTCTGTAAATCTAGCTATAATAAGCTTAATGATATATTTATTGGCTACCACTTATGGGTAGTCAAAAATAAACAGTTAAAGCAACTCTCAGAAGTCATCAGTGTAAGATAAATTATAAGGCCTTTCTTATAATTTATTTTTGCTTAAGAATGCAATTGTTGTCTATCTGATCAAGTTATGTTTTTATCAATTGTGTGAGAAATCTGTTGTTTAGTATACGAAATCTGTTGTTTAGTATACTAAAATTACTACAAATGAATCTCCCTGTGGTCTAGTTAAGAAACCATGTATTTAAAACTTTTACTTGAGGACAGTAAACTTTATAAAGATTATTATATTTTCATAGACATAGGGTTTTTTAAACTGTAAAATACAAAACTATATTGTTTTAAAATTATGTAGACATGTTTTTTAAAATTCCTAAGTTTCCAATGAAGCTGGCTACCCTGGGGTCTCTTCCAGAATGGAGGGTACCAACACAGGGAGTCTTACGACTGGATGGAGACTCAGACAGACAGTGAGCTATTTATTAGAGAAGGAGGTGAGTTTTTTCAGGTCAAGTTTAATGTCTAAATTGTCAGAATTATAAATAATAGGTCAGAAAAGAAAGTCAGGAAAAAATTTGGAAAGGAGAAAAGAATAAATATTTTTAAAAATAAGCTACTTAAGTATGGAAACTTTCAATGTTTCTAGTGGGATTTTATGCTTGATTTCATTGTCTTATCTCTGTATAAACTTCAATGAGGTCTATGACAGATTTTCGTCTCAAATGGTTTTAACTTTCTTGTCTAGTTTCTGAACACATTACAAGCATTCCTCAATAAATACTTGCTTGAATCAATAAATGGAGCCTTTATGTCTTATTTGTTGGGAAAAGTGGGCAAAAACACCAAAAACTATGAAAATGTTTTTCATAGCAAACAAAAATGTTATAAATATAAATTATCATTATTATAGTAAATCTTTCATCATGAAAAACCAAAATTACCTAGCAAAAGCTGGAAGGTTAAATAGCAATCAAAAATGTCACTACTGTGGATATTCATTAGTCATGTCACTCAATAAACTATTGTGATATTTGTTGATTATATCATTTGATACCTCTATACATGTATTTTTAAAGATTTATTTTTAGTTATTTATGCATACAAGAACTGGGGTATGGGCCAGAGGGGTCTTGTAGCCCATATCATTTTATGATTCAAGATATTTCTTTTAATGGTGTACTACAGTTTATCTATCCATTTACTGAAGATATCTTTATACTTCCTGTTTGGGGAATTATAGATAAAACTGCTGTAAACATTCATAAGTGGGTATTTTTATGGACACACATATTAAACTCAGAGTAAATACTCAGGAAAGTAATTTTAGGAGCATATGCTATGATTGCTTTTAAATTTTTTTTAAGTTTTATTTTTATTTATGCATACAAGAACTGGGGTGTAGGCCAGAGGTGTGGGGGTGAGAGGATTCACCAGAGACAGAGTGGGGAGCAGAAGAAGCAGATCTACTGACATTTACTGCTGAGGGGAGCAGCAGGCAAGATGGGAGAGAAGTCTGCTGTGCCATGTGGGTTACCTCCCTGGCTGGGGATTGAACTCATGCTGCAGTGGCTGGCAATAGCTTGATAACATTGATACTTTAACCCCTGCACCACCAGGGAGGTCCAGATACATTTATTTTTTATAGAATATAAGAATAATGTATATACCTCTTAAGGCTAACTGGGAAAAAACAATGAATATGTACAAAATAAAACAGATGAATCCCATTATATTCTTTGAGAATTAGATTAAAAAGACACCTTACGCTGGAGTCAATGTTAAATAATGTAAATGAATGTTTTTAACAAGAAAAGAAGGAGGTATACAAATATTTATTAAGTTCTCATAAGAATCCGATCTGGAAATATTTGCTTTAGATGGAGGCTGCTGTTCAGGGAAGTAGGTAGGAATCATAAAATGTAACTGATAAAGGAAGAAGGACAAACAATGTATGACACAGCTTAAAACCTCAAGAATAAAAATATCTTGTTTAATCATCATAACTATGCTTCATGTTCTAGCGTCTGAGGGTTTATACTGGCTCACAACAGCTATTTGTTATACATTGTCTTATCTCTGTGTTCATGACTTCACATTATAATCAATCACCTATAAATGAGTCATTGTGAGAGTATTTACAGCATGGAAATCAGCAAAAGCTTCAACCTAGGGCTTTTGCCCCCTTCTGAGAGCAAGGTTTTCAAATATTTACCAACACACCATTGATTTGCATTAAGTAGGATTACATCATATTTAGACTCTAAAATCCATTCCAATCCTAAAATTCTATGACTATCACACAACAAATTATCCAGCAATTTTTTGGTTGAATTAATTTCCTTAGTTTTAATGGATGACTTAGATAGCCTAACCTTTTTGCATTGTATACTGGAAATTTTATTCAAAAGTGTAATTTTTCATTATGTAATTGGAAAAGATTTTTGTGTTTTTATAATGGGGCATGATTCTTCATATCATAATATAAAATGATTTATTATAGAAATAGTATAAGTATTATTAGCTATTAAGATTTCCTTAAAACTAAAATTGGTGTAAACACAACCTCTGATCCTATCTTTGACCATTCTTTGTCTTGATATTTTTCAGTGAGACCTACAGTCATTGAAACTGATGTTTATGTAAACAGCATTGGACCAGTTGACCCCATTAATATGGTGAGTAAAAAATATAAAAATAACTATCTGTCAGAGAATTCTTGAGTATATATGTCAATAATAGAATGGGTCTATGAGTAATAACTAATTCTGAATAAGTTTATGGCAACATGTGTAACTACTGTGTGCAATTATTTAATATTGTGTGATATAGGTAATGGAACTAAAATAGTCCATATCTAAGAGCTTGTTTTTGTCTTCGTTATTATATATTGAGCTAGAAAGACAATAATATAATTTAAGAAATATTAAGTAGGGATTTTTTTTAGGATTTAGTTATTCATTGGTTGTGTATTGGTATAGTGATGAAAAGATTTTGCAGATGGTAGAGTTTATATTTGTGATAGGGAATATAACCATATGGTCCCCAGATACTAATAGCAAATTCAATAGGAGCTGTCCAGAATCGATTAGGAGTTATTACGCAATCATGTACTGGTTACAAGATGATGGGAAGTAAATGGGAATTCAGGTTAATTTTTGAACTACTGTCTGGAGAAACTCAACTTAGAAAGGAATAATATGAGTATGGTGCTAAAGAGGGGAGAGAGAGAATAAGAGAAATACAGGAGGAAGAGAATATGAAAAAAAAATGTTGAAAGGGCTATTCAAGATGGTAAATGGTAAATGGTAAAATATGGTAACAAGCTTTATTTTTATACATACAACAAATTAGATTTTATTACTATTTGAAAAACATAATTAACACCTTTAATATATCTAAAGACATTATTAATTGTAAATTGTCAGTGTTCTTTTCCAAACCATAATAATCCTATTTATGAGACTCAACTATGGGGTTCCATTCAATGAGCCAATAATGTGCCTCCGTCTTTTCAAATTAGTTTTGTTATTTGTGTCAGTCTGGTTGGGCTGCTATCACAAAATCCACAGAATAGGTGACTCAAAAAACAGAAATTTATTTCTCCAATTCTGAAGGCTAGAATTCTAAGATCAGGTGTTAGCAAGTTTGGTTTCTTCTTAGGACTCTCTGCTGGTCTATATATGGCTGCCTCCTTACTCTGAGTGCCCTCCCTCATGCAGTGCATACTGCCCCTCACTCTGTCCCCCCACCCCTGTGCACTCTGTGTCCACTGGGATTATTTCTTCTAATAATACCAGTCAGATGGATTAGGGCCCACCCTAAGGACCTCGTTTTAACTTAATCTCACTTCTTTAAATACCGTGGCATTCTGATGTACTAGGGAGGAAAAGCTATACATTTATAACATAAATTTGAGGGGGAAATTTTGAGGTGCACTCTCTAGCCATAGCCCCATCCAAAGATATTTTTCTAACACTGTGTTCATGTTCTCACTCTATTTAATATTGCAAAAGTCAAATTGTTCCTTTATTGTATGCCTTAGTCGCTTTATACCTGGCTAACCATCATGTCTAACGATTGGCCATAAATGCTCATTTCTAAGGTGTTACATAGTCAGGCTCGGTTTCACTCTTACTCAGGTGATTGTCATTAACTTTCACAGCTGTCTTCATTGACTACTATACTGACTGCATTTTGCTCACATCATAACCAACATCTTTGTCTCCTGAATGCAAATGAATATGAATTGACTGGGAAAACAGAATTTGAGAATCTAAAATTAGGAGCTCACTCTCAGGAGAAAGTTGGGGCTGGAGCAAATATTTGCCAACAGTTAGCTAGAGCATTGTGGGGAAAAAATAGTTTTAAAGTAATGAAAGTAGAAGGAAATAATATTTGACTTTAAGGATACATTTCAGGACCTGAAAGATGAAGCTGAGATAGTAAATAAAATAAAAAGCTTGGCAAGAAAAGGAAGATAAAGCATTAGCAAAGAAATCAAGGAAAGAGAAAATTTCAGATTTTTAGTATTAGTCCTATCACAAATGAATTCCTTTAGAACTGCTTGATTTGGTAAGATAAAACATACCATATACTTGTGCGTTGACACTCCCTGGTGATCTAGTGGTTAGGAGTCAGCACATCATACTTGTGTATATTATTTAATGTTGAGCAAATATGAGATTTCATAAAGTAATGCACAACTACACTGCTAATATTCTCTTTAGAATCTTACAATGTTCAGGTGCTAATTAACCAGTGCTTGGAGAAGATAAGTCTGTTTAAATACATGAAAGCCCACATATTCCTGATTTATATGTTTTTGTTTTGGACTTCTGTTTTCAAATTTAATGAATTCATTAAAGAAAAAAATGTGATCATTAGAATAGAGAAAAATAGGACTCAAGACTGAATTGGCATTCTAGAAATATTTTGACAAGAATGACTACCAAGAAGCATTCATGAAGATCTTTGTCTATGAAAGTTTCTTGTATTAAAGATTTAGTTTTCCCAGAGAGACAAACTACATACTTGTAACCTTGGATAGTGTTAGTTTTTTAAAAAGTTAATGAAATGATATTGCTATTAAAACTAGTGATACTAAAACACATACAGGAAAAATTTGGAATACTTGATGGGGTTATTAAAAGAAAACCATTGTAATTTTAGGAATTACTAAAAACAATTTATATAGAAGGCTGTTTTAAGTAAACAATGCAGGAAAATTAGAATTGTTTTCATGAAAAGAGCAACAATGTTTTGAATGTGAGTGTAATCAAGAAAGCAGACTTGAGTGTAATTAAACAAGCAACAGGGTAGGGTTTTTTTCTCCCGTAATTATTCATAAAATTTAAGTTACTGGCAAGAAGCAAAATTAGAGTGTTGATCTGTTTTAAGTCTTTCAAACAGACAGAATTTGGTTTGCTTCAAAATAGTTGTTTCCTTTTAAGCTTGGTTATATGAAAAGGTTTTTCTGCAACTTACCAATAAAATAGTATCATTCTACAATACAATAAATTTCTTTTTTTCCCCAGGGTTAGATTAATAATTTCTGGTATTCCAAAATTGAAAACTCAATAATTGGATGTTAAATGAATGAATACAATAGTTAATAAATAATAGATTGCTTCTATAGCTTTTATTTTTAGAATTTAAGTCAAAGTGAATAAAATGCACTAATGCCAGATTGAAAAAAATAAGGAAACTGGGGAGAGGCTGTTCAACTATGAATGTACTAATAAAACTATTAGAAATATAAACTGAACAAAAATAGACAATTAAAACAAAGGCAAAAAGAATCAGTAGGGGCCTCCCTGGTGGTGCAAATGGTTAAGACACAACCTGTGAAGCTCTCTGCAGCCACTGCAGCACTAGTTCCATCCCCAGCCAGGGAGCTACCCACATGGCGCAGCAGACCTCTCCTGACTCGCCCGCTGCTACCCTCAGCAGTGTATGTCAGTCAATCTGCCTGTTCTATTCCCCACTCTGTCTCTTTTGAATTCCCTCACCCTCCACACCTTTGGCCTATACCCCAGTTCTGTTCTTGTATGCAAAAAAAAATTCTTTTTTTTAAAAAAAGAATCAATAGATGCTATTAGATGGGGACTAAAGAATTATATAACATAATTTTTCAGACTTTGGGGAGATGTTCTATTTTTACTCTTTTAAGTAAATATCTCAAAATATTGATGTGATAGCAGTTTACCTTCTGGCTGACTCGTACAATATGCAAGGGGTACAGCAATTCTCTGAATCAAGTCAAAAATTTCTAACACTTAATAACATTCTCATGATCAATAACATTCTCATGTTTGCCCAGTTTTGAGGCTACAAAGTTGCCTAGTGACCTGTTTCCCCAAGGAGTAAGAGTAAGTGGTCAGTGTTCTTCTGTATAGTCAGGTATTACCTGACTGTCCAACCAGCTTTCTTCATATTTTATCATAATTCTCTCTATAACACACTTTTGATGTATCAGCATTCATCATGTTGCTTATCTGAAAAATGTTTTAAAATAAGCATGTATTCAAAACACAAGGCCCTACCCATTATTTGATATATTTTTATTTGTTTCAATGAAGAGATTTAAAATAATATACTAAAAATTTAGATCTTAAATTGGAAATGAATTTGAACATCAGTGGCTTTGCAGTTTAATTACAATGCAAGAAAAAAAGTGTTTTTTCTCTTGACTTTTGGCATTTTGCTATGATAGAAATGGTGACAAGTTTCTATCATGGAAATTGTATAAATTGTGTGATAAACCTTAAATTATGTGGTAAGAGCACTCAGTTTTGTGATACACAGTGAAGTCCAGACAACTGAAACAAAAGTCAGTTCTTCCAACAGCAGTGGAAGCAGTGCTCTCCTGGCAGCATACTGACAATCTTAGAAAATTCTTTGTTTTTGGCTTTAAGAATATAGACAATGGTAAGAATCTATAGTGTCTCAATAATATAAATAATCTAAAATATGAGGCATACAAGCTCTTTCTTAATTTATCATTTCCAAATATAATATTCTGTCTTGCTTAGATAGGCAGTTTAATTCAGACAGCATGAAACATGTTTTCAGCTTTATTGAGATACAATAAACAAATAGAAATTGAATATAATTAAAGTATACGTCTTGATGTTTTGATATGTAGACATCTTGAGAAATGGACTTGTAATAAAAATGATTAATATATCTATCACCTCATGTTTCCATTTTCTTTATTTACACTTAGCAGCTATCCTCTTAGCAAAATTCAAGTATAATACGTAAGTTATATATTTTTAATACAGCACATTTATGGTTGCAGAAATTATTGCCACCACCTCAGATTATAGAGCAAATAATTTATATGGAGTTCTGAGCTGATCTATGGCAAATACTGCACATAGGCATGGAGAACACAGTAGTTTATTGCTGATGGGGCTTCTCTAGAAGGCAGAACCCTCACCTGAATCTCAAACACCTACTTCAGAAAATCTCCGCCACCCTCCCATGCTTTTTTATATAGATAAATTGTGGTGGGAAGTATAGTTTGATGCATGTTTGTGCTTGCTCTCATACTGTGTTATATTTGGAAAGCACACTCTACGCAGGTGATACTTTTCCATTTTCTTTCATACATGCACTCATTCATTCATCCATGTATCCTATAGTAATAACAAGAATACAAATGGCATCAACATTTAAAAAAATGATAGCAAAAGACAAGCATGAAACCAGTGACAAAAACTAGTAATTGTAAAAATAATGAATTTCATCTCTAGCATATATTTGTGTGTCTAATATGGATAACCTGGGATATAATGAAGTTAAAATTGTGGCATTTGGAGTCAGAATTCCTTGTATGCTGTGGAGTGTTAGAAAATTACCTCCTTGTATTTCAATTACAAGGGGGAAATAAGATGAGCTTTGAAAAAAAAGAGTACTGCGATGGAATTGCATTTAGCTTTCTCTACTTAAAGGGAGACTTTGTGTTTTTGATTTGAATTAAATAAAGGTTTGTGAAAATATTTCTATTTTACTAAAAATAATGTGCTGAAAATAAATTCCATATGCTTTTAAATAATGAATTCTAAAATTATTTCATGGGTATATGAAAACTATTGTCATAAACTCATTTCTTAAAATGATTATTATTTTGCCTAACTACTGGATATTAAAATAGTTATGCATGTCTTTTATATCTATACTCTGCCAAATATTAGTATCTTTTGCTAATAACATCTTTGGTTCAAGAAAATATTGATTTCTAGCAAAGACTTAATAAGTTTAAAATAAGTTTTAGAATGCATTTAAAATATAAGATGACCACACTTACATCTTAATTCTTTTTAATGACTCATTGCATATCCAAAACTAGTACCCTAAGGGTTTTTAGTATTCTGTATTTTTCTGAGCTCCTCTTAATAACTCTTAATGTCCTTGCTGCAAGTTACTTCTTCTAGAAGTCATGCTGTGTATTTATAAGTTCTCCATTTAGAATGTAACTTTCTTAAAAATTACACAAGTAACAATATTTGACATAAAGCTGTATAACTCTTTAATTTGTCATAGACCTGCAATATAAACTTAACCTGAATTTATGAGATTTTGTCCTAATTCTTACAGATTAGTTCATATTTATTATAGCCTCCAGGAAATAACTGACAACAACTTCTCTATTCTCTACATTAACATCTACTTTTTAAGTGTCTGTTTTATATCAGAAACTGTTTTTAAGAGTCGGGATTGCAGTACAAATAATCAAATACCCTTTACTCTCTTGGAGCTTACATTCTAGTAAGGAGACTGTAAAATTAGTGGCAGTAATCAATGCAATGGAGAAGTGGAGCAGAGTGCTAGTAGGGAGGATCAGGATTTAGTTAGGTTTTCATTATATAGTAGTCAAGGAAATTGTTACTTGTTAAGTGAAATTGAAGCAGAAATCTGATGTAGTGAAAGAACACTTCAGGTTGATAACTGGACAAAGAGTGATTTAGCTGTTAGAAATATCAAAAGAAAAGATTTTGACATAAAAAAATATACACTAAACAGCAGGGGGACTAGTGGGATTTTCAATAAAATTAACAGGAATTAAAAGAGATAGTTGAAGGTGGTATAATTAGGATCCAGATATCTGTGGTCCCAATTTAAAGAATAACAATTTTCTTTGCGTGAATATGGGAATGTGGTAGAAAAACATTGACTGAAGAAGTGATGGTCTGTAACATATTTTCAATCAGAACACCATCCTTCTGAGTGAAGAACAAACTACAGGAGGTCAATTGTGAAATTGTAGAGGCAAGTTATGAGTATACTTCAATAATCATGGAAAAGTTGATGACAGTGAAACTGGTGAGAATTTATCATATTCTGGAAATGATTTGAAAGTGGTGATGTCAGGATGGTCCAAAACACCAGATGTGGAGTATTAGAGAAAATGAAAGATAGATTTGGACTTTTAGTGGTGACTTTAATGTAGTATATGCACATGTTGATTCTCAATTATTATGAGTACCTAAAACTTGTATAATGTTGCAATGCAGTGTCTTTCAATAAAAAGTACTACTACTACTACTAATTAGAAAAAATAGTTTAAGATCTCTTGACTTGAAAATTTAAGAGGTTGGGTTTGTCATTCAATGATATAGAGAAGTTAGAAAAGAATTTTCTGAGCTTGATGAAAATCAAAATTTCCAATTTGGAATATTGAGGATGAAGTGTCTATTAAATTAACAAATGGCAACATTAAGAAGACAAGTAGACATATGTGTCGGGCTTTCAGTAGGGATTTGAGTTTGAAATATAGCTTTTGCATTGTTAGGCTAACTAGGTGATACTCAAGGTCATTAAGATTATTTTGGAAGTGAAAAAAAAGGGAATTAAGTGTTAATAAACACAGGATTCACTTAAGTGCTTAGAAATAAAACATCACAGAGGAACTGGCAAGGGAGACTGAGCATTTGCCACTGAGATAGGAGAAAAACAAGATCATCTCTTTACCACAAGTGATACATTATTGTATATTTGATTACATGCAATAATCTTAAAGTGGCTTTGGCATTTTAAAAATTACTTTGTAAATAATCATGTGTTATATTTGGGGAGTTCTCCAGCTAAAAAATATAATTCCAAATTACATTGCCTTTATGCAGTATCAAAATTGAATATGAGAACTTCTTAATAAATATCTGCATGGTAAAAGTGGTGATCTATATTTTCTGGGATGTATTTGGTATATTAAGGACCAACTAACAATTTCTGCATCTCCCCCTTTGTTTGGATTCTAATTCAGTGACAAATCAAGTTGGTTTACTTCTTCACCTTTATTCACTGCTATTTTGTCAGTTAACTTGGAAGGAGACAAAGTGAATCTCATAATTTACTTTGTATTTCAAATAACTCACTGTTCCTTCTTTCAAAATATTTATCCTAGGAGCTATTGTAGTTGTTATGAATGAATGGAAGTTCCTTTTTCATGTTTCTCTTGCCTATTTGTTATGAAAATAATTATAACCTCTAAATAGGAACATGAAGTATAAGAACACAGTTTGATCATTTTCTGGAAATTGCTCTAATACAAATGAATAAATGAAATTGGATTTTTTGATTACATATAAAATGGCACATGGGCCTCCCTGGTGGCACAAGGGGTTAAGACACAATATATGAAGCTAACCACAGCCACTGCAGCACGAGTTTGATCACCACCCAGGGAGCTGCCCACATGGCACAGCAGACCTCCTGACTCGCCCGCTGCTCCCCTCAGCGATATATTTCAATCAATCTGCCTGTTCTGCTTCCCACTCTGTCTCTGGTGAATCCTCTCACCACCACCACCCCACCTGCACCTCTGGCCTATACCCCAGTTCTTGTATGCATAAATAAATAAATCTTTAACAAAATAAAATAAAATGCCACATGCTTTAATGACCTTCTTATCTCAGTGAGACACTTGTTAAGGATTTGCAATTTTAAAAGCTTGGAAATATTAGCCTCTGCAAAGGGTTTGGGAAGGATAAATTATCAAGATATACATGCTGTTGTCTTTCTCTCCTTGCCCTTAGATTGAAGAAATAATTGTGGGAAGAAAAAAATTCATCTTTCCCCAAGACTCTTGGCTTGGTAGAATTTGACCTTTTGAAAATCATAACTCTTCCAATAGTGATTAGCTTTGCTATAAACAGGTATTCTAAAGAAGATCCTGTCAGCTGCTAAGCAGAATTCACAGCTGCTTGCTAAATCCCTCCCCTAGACAAGTTAATTCTCTAGTGTCATCTTTAGTGCCCTGTTAGGAAAACTGCAACCCAGTATGCTTGCCAAGTAGGATGAGGTTTTCTCTACTAACCAATGTTGGACATTGGGAAACAATAATCCTGGAGGATATGTAAGCAGTTTATCCTTTACCTTATGCTCATTATGCTGTTTGTTACTATACAAAAGTATGAAGTTTGGTACATAATGTTGGTTAAGTATCTTTTCAAGATTGAATATCTCTTTAATTAACATAAGTCTGATTCATTCTGCTTCCATTTACTATTATGATCAAAACATGCAATTTATACAATTTATACTATTAATTTCTAAATGGTTATTTGTTTCAGTTGAAGAGAAAACTGAAATATATCCTAATTTATTAAAAAAATAAGATATTTGATCTAATAAGCAGAAGGCCAGAATAAGGAACAAAGATAACAGTAGTAGTAGTAGTAGTAGTAGTGTCTAAGAATTTTCCACATAGTTTAAGAAAGAGGGACACCAGCAATATTGTATATAAGGGTCTATTGGTTCTCTTAAATTTATGTCCACATTATATATCACTCTGTTATTCTAACTCAATAGATGATTAAGCATGTACATAATAAATATGCTTTCTTATTATATATTATTACATATTGTAAATTGTTATTCTTCCTTGTCTTTTAGGAATATACAATAGACATAATTTTTGCTCAAACCTGGTTTGATAGTCGTTTAAAATTCAATAGTACCATGAAAGTGCTGATGCTTAATAGTAATATGGTTGGAAAAATTTGGATTCCTGACACTTTCTTCAGAAACTCAAGAAAATCTGATGCTCATTGGATAACAACGCCTAATCGCCTGCTTCGAATCTGGAATGATGGACGAGTTCTATATACTCTAAGGTAATATACATATACATTTAAACATATATATTTGAAAAGGTAGTTGCAATTTATTTCCCATACTAACATTTGATCAAATCTAAACATTTCCTTTTTCAAAATTGAAAAGTAAATTATAGAGAACTTATTTCACAAATTATATTCTAAAACGGTGGAATGTTTTGGAAATATGTACTTAAGCTCAGAGTAACCAGGATGTGAAAAGGACTAAAAACGAAGAGGAAAAACCCTTTGATTTCTTTCCCTTTGAAGAAGAGGCTGTGGCATGGAAATGTTTTTTAGTTTATATTGAAGATGATTGACTGCAATTTTCTATAGAAGTCTGTCTATCCTCCTATAAAACTTTAACATACTGTGATTTTCAGTGATGTAGGAAAACATCCCTAAGAAAAGATTAAATGAATATTATCATATAAAATTGAGAGGTTTTAAAACTCATTGTCTTCAAAATATTTGCATATTCAGAATCATTCTTACTGGAACAATATGTATAATCAACTAAGAGAAACATAGTCACTGTACTTAACCTCAACCTTTTGCACTCTAATAATTGTGTGTGTGCACGTGTGTTTATTGTTATACTGCAGTAAAAAAAATAATGTAAAGAGAATTCATACTGAAATGTATACAAAGATGGCTGAGATGGTAGAGAAGGAAATGTTAAATTTTCTTATAAATGTTATAATATTGTTATTTAAGGGTTTTAGACTGTAGAATTATTATTATTTCCTAGGGCATAAAAAGTCTTTGTAAGTCAAAATCATGTTTGAAAGTTAAACAAAAGATCTTAGTGTATCAAGTTATTACTCAGTATTTTGTATTTATTTTTTCTATTTAAATAGATTGACAATTAATGCAGAATGTTACCTTCAACTTCATAACTTTCCTATGGATGAACATTCCTGTCCATTGGAATTTTCAAGCTGTAAGTGATGAAATATTTAATAATTTCATAGAATTTTTGTATAATACTCTGTTTAGATTACAATGAAAAATAAAATGAGATAAAATACAGTTTATACAGTTTTTAGAGTATGGATAATATTCAGTTACCTTATATAAAATAATTACAAATAATCTATTTGTTTCTTGCTTTTGAATTAAAAAGTGACTAAACTGAATAATGATCTATATATTTTATTACATCATTCTTTACAAAATTTACATTTTATTCAAGTGTCCTTTTCCTATTTTAATTATTAGAGGAATATTGAAGATAGGTTTCTCTTCAAATGTTTTTATACTACCAAGAATAACATGTGAATTTAAATTTTATTCCTCTTCTTGGAGACAAGATTTAACTTTATCACATTGAAGTTTAAAATATGTTTTTAAGGATTGCATGAAAATTATTATTACCTGAATATCAAATATTTTAAAAAGCTTTATCGAGTTTGAAAAACAAAGATAGTATTGTTTATCTGAAATAGAAATTATTAGGACTAGATAATTTGAATATAAAAACCTAATATTCTGTTACAAGTTAATAGTTATATTTCCATATCAATATTAATTTTATTTCATATTTTCTAACATTTATACTCACATATAATGTATAAAGATATTTTTCTAGTTAACTCACAGTTGAGCAAGTCTTGAAAACGTATAAAACAACTTAAAAATGATATTGCTTATATCCACAAATTGTCTAATGCTACTTTCCTCCATTTCAGATTTAATATTGTTATATATCATATTCTAAAATCTATTTACAGTACATTATATGTAATCATAACAATTACCCTGCTTCTTCACTTACAAAACCCTCAAATATCTCTTGTTGCCTTTTTATTAGTTATTTTCTTGATTCTTCTTAGTGATTATTTTCCATGAATATGACTTTTTTAATTTATAGCCTCATATCTCACTGCCTTGATTTTCTAACCTTGATTTTTCAATGAATGAGACTATCAAATCACAACAAAGATTTGATTAATAGACACATTCATGGAATAGTTGATATTTAAAAATATGAAGATGTATCAATTATTGTACTCTTCTCTAGCTACTATGCCTTAAATTCTTAAAGCAATATCTCTTGGACTTTGAATGTCACTATTGGTAATTAATAATCTAGCCCAGTGAAAGTATTTTGGTATCATTGACATAAGAATAAAAATCATAGCTAACTTTTTCACACTCTCACTGGGTCCTGTAGAGAATTAAAATCAAGAGTGTACATCTATTATTTCACAACAAATATCTTAGAAGATTTCACTGCAGTTCCCATTCAAGTCAAAATTATGATATTTAGAGTGGTTAAACAATGAACTCACTGTTGTTATTAGTGCCCACACTCTTATAAACTATGACTGTACTCTGTTGCCTCTGTAAGAATAGTAACAAAGAATAGAAAATATGGAGATGAAACATGGCTAAAGATCTAGAGAAGAAGAGAGAGAAGTAGAAGAAAGGAAAGAAAACACATCAGTGATGGCAGCTATTTCATTGCAAGGCTGATGAGATCCTGGTGCTAATGATGTAATGTTGAGCAAGTCTTTAAAGTTGAGAGTAAATTATATTCTTGTATAATGACAAATAAACCCTTCTGTTGAAGAGAATTAAAAACTTTATTTTACTAAAATCTTCTCAAAAAAAGATAGATCACTGGGAAGGAATTGTCATCCGCAAAAATAGACATAAAATTTGAAGTGAGAAAGATAACAAGTTTTGTACACAATTTTGACCAGAGAACATTTAGCAAATGAGGTAAGTTTGAGCTTTGATTTTGACAGTCTTATGGACTAGAAATCTAATAGAAAATAATCTCAACTTGCATCTGAGTGTTAATGACTAGACATTTAAAGTAACATGAAGAAGTGTTCCGCACACAGTCACACAACTAAGAGCTAAAAGGAAAGTTGCTACTGCAATCAGCATAACAAAGTGATATAATTCCTTGACAAGAGGTAATCATAATCTGTCTCCCATTTGGATCTGCAGTCCAAAGTTCCTTCACTTAATTGGTCCAAAAAGCCCTTGTGGGTTTCCCTATACATAGCAGAAACATAAAAAATCCTCTTTGAAAGAATGCACCTCAGTTCTAGAAAGCTAGAGAGAAGGCAAAGACATTTTCAATACAAATAACTAATAAGTGCTAGTATTTAGAATATATAAATAATCAGACAGAAATAAAGAAAAAAGAATACCAAATAAATAATTGGAAATTTAATGCAGTCACCAAAGAAAACCCAATATTCTAATAAACATATGAAAAAAATGCTGTCATTCATAATTCAGAAGAATGTGAAATAAAATACAATCTATTCATTGGTAAAAAAGGAAGTAAGTAGACTGTCTACATCAAATTTAATGACAATATGGATCCACATGTACTGTCACACTCTAGCTGGTTAAAAAATAGAGTGGAATACTATTTATGGAAAAAAGATTGGCACTATTTCATAAAGTGCAAATTGAATATAACCTATGACACATTTTCAAGATCTAGATCTATATCCCAGAGAAACCTTTGCATATATAGGTTTTTGAGGCATGTACAATGATGTTAACAGCCAACAGAATACACTATAAATGTCTATACATTAGAAAAACAGAAAAAAGGATGAATAAAGATTGATACATCTTTATAGTGGAACAAAGTCACTAGAGTTACATATAGCAACATGAGCCACTATTACAAATAATGATATTAAAATAAATTAGAAAATGACATAGAACAAAAATCAAATAGAGTTTAAATGGACCAAAATAAACTACATTTTAAAAAATGCATGTCAAAGAATCTGTGACAAACAGACAAGGGAAGAATTATCACAGAAATCATGTTAGTGGTTCCCTCTAGTTGTAGAATACTATATTTGGGTGTGCATATGGGTTTTCTTGTATTTTAGCAAGGTTTGATTTCTACGTTTAAGTGTAGCTACATGGTTTATCATTATTTGATCATTGTATACTTTTTCTTTAAGCTACATACATATAGCTTATGCATTATGTTCTATATTTGTTGTAATAAAAAGTGAAGAAGAGTTAAAAAAATTGTCTTTGGATAAAGTTGGTATTGCAGGAGGAACAGATTTGAGTTGCTATAATGCATACATATGTATTTTATTCTTTATCTAGATGGATACCCTAAAAATGAAATTCAGTATAAGTGGAAAAAGCCTTCTGTAGAAGTGGCTGATCCTAAATACTGGAGATTATATCAGTTTGCGTTTGTAGGTTTACGGAACTCAACTGAGATCTCTCACACAATCTCTGGTAAGAAAGAAACACAAGTCAATGATTGCTGTTAGCATGAAATGGCATTTCTCTTGAAATGTATGGATTGGATTCTATATTTCTGTATTTTATACTCAAAATAAAACTTATTTGTCATTCCAGGGGATTACATTATCATGACAATTTTTTTTGACCTGAGCAGAAGAATGGGATATTTCACTATTCAGACCTACATTCCATGCATTCTGACGGTTGTCCTTTCTTGGGTATCTTTTTGGATCAATAAAGATGCAGTACCTGCAAGAACATCACTTGGTATGCCATCACTGGGTAACATTATGCTATAGTGTCATAAGACATTAAAAAAATGTTGTAATAAAAGTTGGTATTCTAGTATTTAAAAATATTTGTCTACATTAAAACTAGGCAGAAATTGATGGATATTCTCATGCAATATGGTGTGGAAATAATATGAAAACACGTAAGAAATAGTATTACAAAGTATTTGAAAGTTCCTGATATTTAATTTTTTTCTATTAATAGAGATCAAAGGAAGGATAAATACACAGCAATAATTAATACAGGAAAATCATACATAATCCCTGAATCTTACTTTGGCCTATTCACTCTTCATCAAGGTTTTATTTTTTAGCTGAATTACTAACAGCCAGCATGTATTGATTGGTATGTGTTTAGAAAACTTTGAAATTCCCTACTCTTACAATGGTGCTAATGAACAGTCAACCATCCCAAAGAGCAGGTCGCTGAAGAAGACAAGGAGCTTCCAGGCTTCTGATATCTAAAAAATGTGAAATTAGTCTGTGGATATTTTGAGAGTTGCCTGTACAATAATGTTGATTAAAAGGGTAATTTGTATTTCATACTTCAGAAAATAGACTTTAACATTTCCTTAGCAATTTATTGCAGTAACTAAAATCATATAAAAAAGTGTCTAATTGCTCTACATCTGCTTAAAAGAAAATGACAACCTATATTCATGTATGGATAATGCAAAGAAATCTTGTTGATCGATTTATTCATTCTCAAGATCTTTATAAGGCATGAATCACATTGCTAATAATTGGGCCTTAAATCATAAGAAAAGTTGGGACAGTTTCTGTTTTCAATAATTAAGAGATTTGTATGTGGCTTTTATAATAGCTGGTGAATAACTCTATTTAATAGAGTAAAATGCATATCACATAAAATGGGATGCTAAATCCACGGCACCTAACTACACCCGGAAAGGCAGTTCCGTTGAAGGTCAGAGCAGGCATGCTCATAGCTAATGGGCAAGACACACTATTCCTGAGTTTTCATACCATTATTTTAAATTCTTAGGTTAAAAAAACAAACTTCTCTATCTTCTCTATGATGACATTATATATATTTGCTCTGAGACAGTATATTATGTTTTTTTCATAAATATATATTCATATATATACATCTGCATTTATATAAAACTTATAAAATCTTCATGTTTGTGGCATTTATGTCTTAGTAAGATGCAGATAATATACAAATATGAAACATCATATAATATTATGGAGTAATAAAAGCTACAAAGAGAAGGCAAAATAAATGTTTAGATGATGGTAGGGGAGGTCGGTACATATGATGTTTGGTATTTTATCTCATAGAATCAGTGCAAACTTTTCTGAGGAGGTAACAAAGATCCAAAGGAGTATGACAGCTAGCCTGGTGGATATATGAAAACACTGTTCTAGTTTAACAAGTCATAGTGATTTAAATTAGATAAGAGTGTATTTGTTTTTCACGTAAAAGTCCAGAGGTAAGGGGCCTCCCCAGTGGCGCAGCGGTTGAGCGCTGGGTTGCGAAGCTGCCCGCGGCCTCTGCGGCGCCGGTTCGATCCCCGGCTGCTCCCCGGCCACCAGAGGAGGGTCCCACATGGAGCGCAGACCTCTCCTGCCACCCGCTGCTCCCCTCAGCAGTGTACTTCGGTCCTTCTGCCTGCTCTGCTCCCCGCTCTGGCTCTGGTGAATTCTCTCACCCTCCCGCGCTTCTGACTGTACCCGGTGCTTGTATAAATAAATAAATAAATAAATAAATAAATCTTTAAAAAAAAAAAAAAAAATTCAGAGGTAGGTGTCAAAGGGTGATATGTTGCATTGCAATACCAGAAACTCAGCTCCTAACTTTTTTCTGTATTGTGTGAGATTTTAATTCGCAGGATTATGTAATAGTCCAAGATGGCAGCTGACAATCTGGCTGTTGTCTTCCAGTAGAGAGCTATGAGGAAAAATGAAGACATTTCTTGTCTCTGTCATGCTAACTTTTGGACATTGCTTTCATTCTTGTCTTAGTTCTCCTGAGTTATATTTCAGTCTATGTCCTCACATAGCTGTGATAAAGTACAAAGAATGCTGTCCTTTAAACAAAATTATTTATGCATAGAAGAAATGGGGTGCAAGCCAGAGATTGTGGGGTGAGAGGATTCACCAGAGAAAAAGTGGGGAGCAGAACAGATGGATCTACTGAAATACACTGCTAAGGGGAGCAGCAGGTGAGACAGGAGAAGTCTGTTGCGCCATATGTGGGTTAGCTCCCTGGCCAGTATGGAACTCAGACTGTTGGGGTGATAGTGCTGAGACTTAACTCTGACACCATCAAGGATAGCTTATAAATGCAGGAAGTGCTGTGGTATCCTGGGGCACACATATTAGATGATTAGAACTTGCACAGTCACCAAGAACGCATTGAATATAAAGTAGCTATGGTTACCAGTAATCTTTTAGTAACTCACAAGTAATCATATCCTTTGGTTTCCATTGTTTATTTCCACTCAAAAAATTACCAAATCACATGGAAGAATAAAAATAGTCTGCTACATTTCATTTTCTGATTTTTCCTTTTCTCTGTAGGTATTACCACTGTTCTCACCATGACGACTCTGAGTACAATTGCCAGGAAGTCCTTACCTAAGGTTTCTTACGTGACTGCAATGGATCTGTTTGTTTCTGTTTGTTTCATTTTTGTATTTGCAGCCTTGATGGAATATGGTGCATTGCATTATTTTACCAGCAACAAAAAAGAAAATGCTCCTAGAGAAAAAAAGCTAAAAAACAAGGCCTCGGTATGTTAAAAATCTGCATTTTATAAGCAGTAACTTATTATTAGTGGTGTTGTTTTTGAATATTCATTTATATTTGTTTACACTAACATGGATGTTTCAGAAACCACCAGAAAAGATACTATAATAAAATTCTTACATTGCCCACCAAGCAAAGTGTATTCATAGCTCTTCTTAGAAAAGTCTCATGGATCATCTTTGTGAAGAGGGGTTTTATTATGCTGTGAAATTTCCAACAAGTGGTAAATTCTTTGTACCTAAGATTCTTAATATTACTTAAAAAACAGTTGTAAGTACATCTTTCATTGATTCTATTTTTATGTGACGATTTGCACTTCTAACAATGGGTGAGCTACAAAATTAACTTCCTTTTTGGAGGTAAAGATCTTTACTGTTAATTTTCATCTGTGTTTGAAAATTATAGCTCTAAAATTCTTTCTTTTTTTTTTTTTTTGGTTTTTGTACAGCTGTACTCTCTTACTCCCACTTCCCAGTCATATCTACATAGCATATCAAATCAAGTTGATTTATTTCTTTTACTTCTGAGATAATTAAACATGGATGATTGACTATAGTTTCTAGTTATAATTCTTTTGAATAAAAAAAGTAACTAGCTCTCCAACCTATTCTTTTTTACTTTCCTTTTCCTTTCTTTTATATTTTATCTTACCACAAATAATTATTATAGGTTAATTCTAAAAAGGTAAATTATACACTTAAATCCCTATTTCTAATTCATCACTGTGGCTCATTTTAATGTCCATCTAGTTAGTATTTTTTCAATAAAGCATTTTTTTCTTGCTTGAAAATTTTCATCATTTTCCCATGATATAAAAACATATTTCTTGGTCCTCCCCGGTGGCATAGTGGGTTGAGCCCAGCGCTGTGCCACAGCCTCTGCAGCATCAGATTCCAGGCCAGCTAGGGAGAGTCCCACATAGTGCAGCAGACCTCTCATGTTGTGCCCGCTGCTCCCCTTAGCAGTGTATTTTGGTCATCTGCCTGTTCTGCTCCCCGCTCTGTCTCTGGTGAATCCTCTCACCCTCTTGTGCCTCTGGCCTGTACCCCACCCAGCTCTTGTATAAAAGTAAATAAATCTTAAAAAAAAAATTTCTTAAGGATAAATACACATTCTGTTTCTTTTTTTTAAAGTTTAATTTATTTATTTATGCATTCAAGAACTGGGGTATAGGCTAATGGTGCAGGGGTTGAGAGGATTCACCAGAAACAGAGTGGGGAGCAGAACAGGCAAATCTACTGAAATACACTGCTAGTGGAGCAGTGGGAGAGACAGGAGAGGTCTGCTGCCCCATGTGGGTCAGCTCCCTGGCCAGGGATTGAATTCATGCCCCTGTGGCTACTGCCAGCTTGATAGTGCTGAGACTTAACCTCTGCACCACCAAGAAGGCCCGACATTCTAATTCTTAACCTCACTTATTTTCTCATTAGTTAATATTCCCAAGTTATATTCCTGGAAATTTTCTTGATTCTTTATTCTAATTGATTTATTTTTCTACTCTATAACTACTAAAGTGATTCTAGATGTGTTAGGTAAACTATTCATGTATTCCAGATTTTCTTTCTGACATATTTCCTATGTTTGCTTCCTCAAGATTTTATGTGATATCGTTTAATTTTTTTAAATTTACAATAACTTCTTGAATATCCGAGAGCTCTTTTTCACTATTCATCCTTTTTCCCTTACATGGATGCTACATTGACACAATATCTCTTCAAGAATTTCTGAGTTAACAAACTAGAAGGTTTAATATTCTCCTGTTTCCAGAATTATTATAGTTAGTAATTCAAGCTGTTCTTCTTCACTTTCTTCCTCTCTATTGTTGGTACATCTCAAGAGTTCATGGCAATTTCTTTCTAATTGACCTTGTAAGCTTAGCTTTTAGGTGTTGTGTTTGTAATTGCTATATTTCACTTTCCTCTGTGTGTGTGTGTATGTGTGTGTGTGTATGTAGCATGGCATCTGATAGCTTCCACTTTTACACTCTACATGATGATGAGAGCTAATAATGACATTCAATACTCATTTCAGCAGTCCTAATCCTCCCTCTGGAAGCACAAGGTTATTCATATTTCAGGAATTATAGAGTTCTAACTATGAGCGAACTCCAGCCTGTTAGCTGCTCTGACTCTCTGTGTACACAGTACATAAGCAGTAGCTCAAACTGGTGCAGCTATTCTGGAGATAGACATTTATCTAATGCAGTGTTTCCATACTGTTTATCACTGCCATTCCACCTACCTTAATGTGACTGTCTCTTAACAGTCTGTCTAATCACCTAATAATATTAATTATTCATTTTGCTAGTATTTAATAGCATTGGTAATACATATACAATTACAAATAATAATTACAAATTAAATATTCAAAATACAATCTGTGCCAAAATATTATTTTTTGTTAATATTTGATATTAGTATATTTTATACTGAAAATATATGCTGTATAGTTAACTATATTATTAATATGTAGGGAATGTAATACTTAACATTTAACCAGGCACATATATATCTTTAATAATGAATAGGTTTCATTTCTCAAAATGTTAAGTTCAGCTCTATTCTTAGTGAATTTTTAAAATAAAAAAATGGCATATTCTCAAAACTGTGTCATTTAAAGTAAAAATAAATTTTATTCAATTATGTTTTCTTTTTATATAACTTAAGCTGATTTTCCCCCCAGTGATTACTATTTAGGGGGCATCAGGACCTTTACTTGAGAAATTGTGAGTTAAGTGATTGCATTTCACATATAAAAGGCTGGGGTTGTGTATATCATTCCATTTAATCTTTCAGTGGTTTTCAGGTCACAAATCCATGTGTCAAAATATGTTATTTATTGATATGGTGTCCATTCTTTCAATATGTTTATCAGCACATATAAAGTCTTTCTTTTCACATCCCTCATTCATTGAAGTATAGTTTCTTTCAATTTATGAATTGTAATGTTTCATGGGGGCAGCAGGAAACTGGCAAATTGTCAATTTAGAGTGTCCAATAGAAGTTCTCCATGATTTTGACCACCAGAAATTTGGACATTTTTTAATGAAACACTACAGTTCTCCATGTTTGAGCAATTTCATATTTAATCAACCCTCTAATACACATTTGATGTCTGCCAACATACATACCATTTTTCTATTTATGAAAATGCTGAGTGATAAATGGAATGTATTTTATTCCAGGTAACCTTGAAATTGCCAACTAACAAACTTGTACTTTAATCACTTTTTTACTCAATAGCATTTGAGCATATGCTATTTAAATATTATGTGACAAGGAAATGAATACAACTTGTCCCATTTTTTTACATAATTTTATTGATCCACTAAAATTTAGGAGTCTAGACAAGTTTCTCCAAGTGTCAACCTCAAAAGATCTGTCATTAACATTTATAATAATATACTGCCTCTGCTTTTTATAATACATCAAGGCAAGCAGAGTCATGAATTTATTTGTACTTAGGGCATTGCTCCTTATCTTTAGGCTGCACATTTTGTTTCTAGTATGGTTATTATGATTTGTGTGATGCATTTATCTCTTAAAAATATCACTAAATGTGATTATTTGTTTTGCTCTGCATCTACTGAATTTTTAATATTTGGTAGATCACATTCTGTTTCTTTTAAGAAAATGAGTTGAACATGTCTGTTTTAAGAAATTTTCATTTATGTGTTTAATTTTAAAATATTTTTCATACAATATTTAATTTTATGACTTTGAGATGTATTTTAAACATTTAAGAGGAAAATCATTTATAAACACTTTTGTTTGTAATTAAGAATAGGTTAAAACAATTTTTATAATCCCAGCATCCTTTTTAGTGTTTAGATAATAAACTGATATTATAATACTTGTATGATTCATATGCAAACATTCAGAAGGATGAAGAATTACCAAAACTGCACTTTCCATTCATACTTTACTTGCCATTTTATTCAAGGGGGTCATTCATGGATCTTTTTCAGGTAATATATTGTGATGAGGCCCAAGTTTTTGCTGTTGCTTATGCTTGCTTTAGTACATACTAGAGCTAATTATGATTTATTCTCTTCAGAAATCAATACTAGCAATGACAATAACAATAATATTACCTCTTGGCAGCTGAACACACACTTACTTTTCAAAAATTTTGCTTGATGTTTATGTGAACCTCTCATTTAGTCATCAAATAGAGGTCTGTGTTGTTATTGTGACTTTTGTACTATCGAAGACATAGAGACAAATGGTAGTTGAGTTTCTTGTTCAAATTTGCACAAATACACTGGGCAGAGCTGGAGTTTCAGTTCAAGCATGTCTGACTCAAAATGTTTGCTTTAATGTTTTGTAATATCATGGACTTGCTTGATATTTTATATTTTTCAAAACTGTTTTCAGTATTTAAGTTTATTCAGAATCAATACCATAAAAAGTGTTTCCCAAATAATCCTGATAATAACAACAGCTATTATTACTGAGCAAAATAAAATACTAGCTTCATAAAAATGATGAAATCTACTCATTGTAGCTATCACAAAGTTTGAATGCTAATATAAATTTACTTATAAAGATAACTGCATTGGTAGAGTAAGCAGAATTTTGAACACCAGATCCCAGACCTGAGTTTTTAATTCCTGTACATTGTCTCTTCCAAATATGTATGATGCCTTGTGCTTATCCATTGCTACAAACCCAACATCTTTTATATTCATTCACAGCTCCCCTAATGCCTGTATCATCAAAATGTCATCTCTATTTGTTCTCACTATTAGAATAAACAAATTATATAACATAGTAGCAAACATATTTATAGCATTGTGCATTTTCTTTAAGTAAAATAACATACAAATACAAGGTTTATTCTTACCAGAATTGGATTCATGGTTAACAATAGTTTGGTAAGTGAACTTCAGTTTTCTAAAGGCATAAGGTATATTTCATTTTTGAGGGGTGATTTTCAGCATAACTTATGGAATGTAAAATAATATGTTACTTATTATAAATTGATCTAAAAACATGTTAGAATAAAATGCCTATTTGGTTTATGGGAAGCAACATTATTTTTGTTGCAGAGCAGTCTCTTAGTTTGCCTTGGGAGGACAAATTGATCGATCTTTATACTATTTTTTGCTGAAAAACTCATTTATTATTTTACTCAGGTATCCCCTGGAGTCCAACCTGGATCTACTCTGATTCCAATGAACAGCATTTCTATGCCGCAGGGAGAAGATGATTATGGATATCAGTGTTTGGAGGGCAAAGATTGTGCCAGTTTCTTCTGTTGCTTTGAGGACTGCAGAACAGGATCTTGGAGGGAAGGAAGGATACACATACGCATTGCCAAAATTGATTCCTATTCTCGAATATTTTTCCCAACAGCTTTTGCTCTGTTCAATCTGGTTTATTGGGTTGGTTATCTTTACTTATAAATTCTATTTACTAGCCAAAAATCATAAGAAGCCTGACTAAATCCAAAATAATCTTCTGTACTTAAGTACATGAAGTTTAAATTTAAAATGTAAAAGAACAAATGGATAAAATGTGAATAGTATTTTAATTATTTTAAGAGTTTCATAGGTAAACAGCTTTTAGATTAATTTACCTAAATTTATGTAAAACAGACTAGTTGCAAAATTCAGTATATTAAAATACAATTATATATTTTTAATTTAATTTTTCTTTATTTTCTTATATGCTGTTAGGGTTTTAAATTTATCATTTCTGTGATTCATATTCTTAGATAGACTAATACATATTTTATTTAAATATTATATATTATTTTTAATGGAAGCATAATACATATGTAGTAATATTTTGCATAGCTGATATTTTAATCTGATTTTTGTTCTTGGTTTTTATTTCTCTGCTCTATTTGAACCAGAGCTAGATAAAAACATAAAGCCATGATTTCCTTGGACTTACTTCCTAGAGATTTTACTCCCAAGAAGGAATTAAATTTTAAATTCTTTATTAATTAAAGAAGAAGAGGCCAACTTACCTGTTTTTATCCAGTTCAATTCTTCACTCAACAGTAAATAGAATAATGCTAACATTTTATTCTTCACCTCATAATATTTGGAAGTATGATAAGACTGACACTGAAATGCTTGACTATACCAACACTGACATTAAATATAAAAAGAACTGATTTTTCCTTGATGCTTTACAAAAGTATTATATTCCCTGAGTTACATATTTATTGAAGAACAGTGCTTGTATTTATGCATTGTGGCTAAAGAATTATTATTTAGTATATTAAAGTTTTTATTGAGGATATCTTCTTAAATATGTACTGTTAACATTTTTCAGATTAGAAAAATTCTGGAAAAACCGTTTGTTTTTACATTTTTGTTGTACATTACATTTTTAGCTCCTAAGTTTGGACCTGGTCAGTTTTACAACCTCATTGATACATTATGATACTCTCTTTCTAGGATGTGGAACAGGTTCAAAAATCTTGTTAAAGATGGAGCTTTGTTAGAGGTACTGCTAATATGAATCTCTTGGCTAACAGTTTCTAAAATGTCTCTCCTGCTAAGAAGAGAGTTAAATTTAAGCTCTATTTTGGTATATCAATTGTTTATAACAATTCCATGTAATTCATCATCATCTAATTTTCTGAAAAATTATCAGAATGAACTTGGAGATAAACTTTAAAAACCATTTCCATTGTCAAGAGCAACTATACCTAATACTTTGATCTAGATCTATCTTAAGGAATGTGAACGAAACGATCTACTGTGCATTTGAACTTTTGTTTTTAATACATTAATTTCCCCTTGTGAGTAGTGAATATATGAGTTATTTGAATGTGTCCCAAATAATCTGGTGTAGCTATACTCATGTTTTTCAGATATTTTTTAATTTAAAAGATGTTTCAGGATATGTTCCCTCACAAAATCTGTTTTTTTTTTTTCACTTTGCTTACAAACCTCTGAAAAAATTAAGTATGAATTTAAAAGATAATTCCCTAATATCCACCGACACTGCTTTTTTTGAATGGTGAGCCAAATTGAATTTGGCATGTATATATTCACTTAAAATTATTCATGTATTTACTATTTTAAGAATGAATATTGATGGGAATAAGTAAGGTGAACATTCATTGATGGGTAAATGGAAAATGAAGTACCTATGAAGAGTGAAACACTTCACTAAAATGTGTTAGGACTATTTCCATGTTTTAAGCTATACTCTGCTTGTTACCACAAGGGCAATTTAAATTCTGTGATTCTTTCAAGTCAATCTGAGTGTGCTATATTTTGAAATACTTAAAAAAGCTTAATACAAATATTTTTGGTTTTTTATTGTTTTTTCATTAAATTGACATTAAGTGTTGACAATATTTACAAGTAGAAATAAATTTAATAAAATATGAATGATGCTTTTTTACATATGTTCATTGTATATACCATCAAAATAATAGCTTGTTTTCAAAGCCAGTGGTATTTTGAGTAGTTGTACTAAAATATAATACTAGAAAGAGAGATATACAAATCTTATTTTAAAAATGCATATGAAAAGATGGAAAGACAGTTATACTCTTTTTACAAGAAATCAAATAGAATTGATACTTAAAGGAAATACGGTATGATTCCTCTTCCTTTTTACTAGTTTTGTCATCTTTAGAAATTGTTTTTAAAATAATTATTCCCTTTCTCCAGGTGAATTTTATCTTGATTTATCGAATTCACTGGAACTTGTGTTTTTTTTGATGGTTTTAAATGTTTTTAACAGTCACATAAAACACATAAGTTGATAGAGAGGATCGAAAGGATAATTGGAGAATTAGAATCATCCAATTAGAGGATTAGAGCTATTTGGGGAAATTGTTAATTCATATAGACCAATCTTCTATATACGTGACCAGAACCTAAAAGTTCCAATGAGGGGAAATGTTACCGGCACATTTTTATTCTGAAATTACACAAATAAATGTAGATTTACTTGAAATTAATTCTTAAATCCCAAGTAATTTCTGAAAAAAAAACTTAGCTTAGAATTCAATATGAAAGGATAAAATTCCTTTGTAAATCTAACTAAAGTTTCAGTGTAAATAGGAACAAGATAATTCACTGAATACATTTTATTTAAATTAAAGCTATTTCATAAAGGAGTTCCTAAAACTATTTTAGGTTAACCACAGTAAATATGTGTAATATACAATAACCAGGGATTTTATCTCCATTGTGTTTCTCGATTCTGACATCAACACTTAATCATGAAATATACTTTACTTTTACTTAACAACAATGACAAAATAGAGGAATGCATTCTCCACAAAAATTTAGCATGAAAGGGCCTCTCTGGTGGCACAGGGGTTAAGTCTCAGCACTATTAAGCCATTGCCAGCCACTACGGCATGAGTTTGATCCCTGGCCAGGGGGCTTACCCATATGGCTCTGTAGACATTTCCTGTCTCACCCGCTACTACCCTCAGCAGTGTATTTCAATCTGCCTGTTCTGTTCCCCACTCTGTCTCTGGTGAATCCTCTCACCCACCGCACCTCTGGCCTACACCCCAGTTCTTGTATGCATAAATAAGTAAAATCTTTAAAATAAAAAGATTCACATGAAAAATAAAAACTAATTGTTCTTTCAAATCAAGGAAACCATGATTATAAAATGCAAAATTGTATTCCAAGTCAATATGCTGTGATTAAGTGAACCTTGTGTTTTAGTTATATAAGAGATGAGCTTTAGATAGGATGACTTATTTGAGTAAAACTGAAATAAGTTAATAACTAATTATTGAATAAACACATAAAATGAATAAATGAATATATAAAATTATCAAATTACTATACCAGTGCCTATTTTCACTCTGAAAAAATTTCCTCTGCTAAGATAGCACATTGCATTTATTTCATTGATCTTAGTACTGGCTGTGCAGTTATTCAATAAACACTTAATGATTTTGTGTTGTCCTACTAAGTGCATCTTGAAGATAATTTCTGAACAAGCTGTGTTTCTTACATCGTTGTATTAACCCCTCAATGCTGTACCTTATAAAGACCAGGCATGCTTGGTATTATGTTTCTATTGATCATTGCTGCTTTTCACTGTTCAGAAGCCTCAGAGAGGCCATTGTAAAGACACAGAAACCATTACCAAGTTTGTATCAAAGATGTTCCAAAATGGAGTTCCTAAATGCTGTTGACAACATTGCTCTGCCTTTTTTTGTGTTTGAATTTTGGACGTGACATAATGTAATACAAATATTTATGCACCACTTCCATGTATAAAGGACAGATTTAAATACAATTGGGAATATATAAAAGCAAACTGTCAAGGACATGTAATATAATCAGAAGATTGTACAGTTTAATGGAAGGAGATTAACACTGGGAAGGTTTCTTGGAGCAGGCTATGTGTTTAGAGATGGGAGCCTGAGAATTCGATATGTCAATAGGTAGGGTTAACAGATATCACCCTTTCTTGTTGAGTAAACAGCTTAAATAAAGAAACAGAAGCTTAAGCACAAATAAGAAATCCATTTTAATTGAAAGTTAAGATTCATAAAGAGACAATCAAAGATGAAACTTGAAAGATTAGTCAATCCCTGTGGTGGAGAAGCAGGAAATCGAATTTCAGGAGACTGGGTCATGTTATAAATTCATGGGAAGTTCACAAAGATACTTGAGTACAAGAGAGTCATTATTAGAATGCAGAGTTTTCATCTTATTGGTGTGTGATGTTGGAATAAGAAAAGTCAATTAGAAAGCTACTATAACAGGAACCTCCCCAGTGGCACAGCGGGTTGAGCGCTATGCTGTGAAGCTGTCCGCAGCCTCTGCAGTGCCGGTTTGATTCCCGGCTGACCAGGGAGAAACCCACATGGCGTGGCAGACCTCTCCTGCTCGCCCACTGCTCCCCTCAGCAGTGTCTCCGGTCTGTCTGCCTGTTCTGCTCCCTGCTCTGTCTTTGGTGAATTTTCTCACGCTCCTGCACCTCTGGTCTATACCCCAGTTCTTGTATAAATAAATAAATCTTAAAAAAAAAGCTACTGTAACACATGAGGTAAGAGAGAATTAATTCTGAAAATACTTCAATGGAGTATGGGGGAAAATAGTCCCTGAATAAGAAAGAAAAAGTGGCAGACTTTGAGCTGTGATTTATAGGCAAAGTTACCTGAATGACTGAGTGTGTATAAGGAGGAAGTACAGTATTGAACCATTTGTATTTGTGTATAAATAGATCCTAAAACACTCCAAAGAGATTAGGAATGTATTACAATCTTATTTGCTCTTAGAATGAACATTTTAATGAAATGGTTTCCTTTTCCTGTTGATCTATTTTTTCATATTAGCAATGAAGAAAAGGAATAATCCTATAAAGTACAAATCATAAGGCATATCTGTCCAGATTATCATTTTTTTAAAAAAAAAATCAGCTCTTCATTAAAAGGGTTTTCTCTTCAAATAGTTTTCTCTCTGAGGAAAAAAAATAGAGTATATTTGAGTGAATAGAGAGAAGAATGGAGAATTGTGAATTGAAATAGCTGGTCAGAACCAGACAAGTCCAGGAAGTTGATTTTTGATTCTCAAAGAAATTCTGAACTATTTGTCTCACAATACTTTAGTTATTGTTATTGTTGGACAAAAAAAAATCTATCTGGGTCCTTTGAATTTGTGAATAAT